CATCTGTTATGCTTGTTGCAAGGACAGGATGCATTTCAGCCATATACTCTCCGCTGGTCTTAGTAAGTATGCTTACTAGAATTAGCATTCTTAGCAGTGGCATATTACGTCTAGAAGCAGTATCCTTGCTCAAACTTAGTAAAATGTGGCACAACTTTTGATGGACAGAGATAAGAAGGCGGAAACCAAAGCAAGCCCTGATGTGCTCCGGACCTCAAACATGTATTTAATCGGAATAGCATAAACCCAGCTTCACCCTCCTTTGGTGGATATGAGCCCCAGTGTTGACTTTAATTAGCGTCACCTCTGACGAATACTAACGTCAGAAATAATGTCAGTATTAATAACACTCAGCTACATTGCTAGTCAGGCGTATTAAAAAGTAGTAGTAGTAGCAGGATTCGCAGTAATAGTGGCACGGCAGATAGGATTAGACTGTTTCTATCGCGAGCTACCAGACACAGTTAAAGGCGATGCTAGATGACATACTCGATAGAAAGGCAATTGCGCTGGCTGAATCTACCTTGGTCGCCCCTCGGTCCTCAAAATCATGAGAAAAGATGGTACCCTGTGCATATACGTTTTACATCGCAAGTCAGATACTGTAGCAAGCCTGCAGTTAGCCTGTAGATAGCAGATGGCACTACGTTGCGACATAAAGTCGTGGTAGAAACTTGAGTTATCATTTGAATATTGTTGCTTTAACCCATAAGCTTAGTATTTATTTACCCCCATACTGTACACTAGGTGTCAACTTCCCACAAGCACACATAGGCCGTACTACAGTGTGCTGTTTACTGGTCTTAGGACGAATGATCAGTAGAATTAGCACACTACTTCTGGCAGTAGTATCCTAGCCTGCGTAGTCCAAACTGGGTAGAACCTGTCACACTCTCCTGGATAGAGCTGAGTGGGCGGAAACCAAAGGAAGTCCTGTTGTGCTCCGGGCATAATCCAGGGTTCACACTTCTTGTTGAGATTAAGGGGGTTTGAGCGCAGCACTGACTTTAATCAATGTCACTTCTGACTAATAATAACACCAGAAATAGTACCAGCACTACTATCACTTAGCTACACTCCTAGCAGATAGTAGTAGAAATAGCAGTAGCAGTACCAGATTTGGTTCCCTTGAGTCTGTTTTGACGCCCACTGAAGGTGAGTACGGTAGTACCAGCGCAAAAGACTACTGTCACTTAAGACTAAGTTAGGCGGTGTTTCTGGTCTGCATTGGAGAAAGCGGCCGACGCCCGATCCCATTCGGTCATCTCGACTCTGTCTTGTCAACGGTTCAAGTGGATTGAGGGTTCAGAGTGCGGCCGACGGCTGCACGTCTATTTCGATGGTCGAACTATCATCATCAGCCTACCACTTAAATGAGGGGGAGGACACATGTTCTTACACGTGACCTTATATCCAAGTTACTGGCCCTGGCAGATTGATTCGTATGTGTACTCTAGGGATGATGATGATGATGATGATGATGATAATAATAATAATAATAGGTGTCTTGGTGATAGGTGTCGCGTGAGCGCGTGTTTGTGAAGTAGGTTGGTGTGTGCACTATGTGTGTGCGTTTGGCTGTGTGTAGGGGTAGGGCAAAGAGTCGTGTGGACTTGGCTGGGGGGGGGAGTTGATGGATGCGCATATAGCCGAAAGCGCTCATGTGGGGTGGTCATTGTAGGCTGGTGTGGGCTGTGCGCAACGGATGTCCGTCAGGACTTTAGACCCTGTTTCTCTGGTCGCAGTGCAATAGCTCCACAAATGACCACCCAGGCGGAGGCGTGGTTAGAAGGTCTAGTGACAAGGATAAAAGGTTACATGCGAGTCCGTGTTGCTGGTGATGATGGCCAGGTTTCAGTATAATTCAGTATATATAGGGGAGATAGGCAGGGCCTTTAGAAACCCCTTTTTACAGATAGATTCTGTCAAATCATGTATATGTTTCAAAGCCATATATGTACATTATATACATCGTTGTTTTCTATCAAATGTATGACCAGCAAGTAAAGCATTAATAAGTCTTCTTTTAATTGCGTCAACGCTTTCAGCAAGAACAATTGAAGAAGGAAGTTTGTAGCTGCCTTCCCTACCCCGGAAGGAGAAGAAGTTGGCTCACACTTCTAGTTTAACACGCTGTTTCTTCAGTTTTTATGGATAATCATCAACCTTCTGAATATCGCAATCTACTCCTATGAAGAGTTTAAATAACATGATCAAGTTTCAGCCTTCCTAGTCGATCTTCATATGATAGGCCTCCTAGGCCGCTGACTAATTTGGTCGCCCTTCGTTGAACTTTCTCCAGCGCGGGGTAATCTTGCGTTATCCACCCCTGGACACAACATTCTAACGTCGGCCGAGCAAATGTTCCGAAGACTCGCCCAAAAAGCTTGGCATCAGGGATCCTCTGATTGCTACCAGGATGCCTATAACCTTCTTTGCAGTTTTGGCCCAGTAAGTTTAAGGTTTAAGAGTGGGCGTCATACATACACCTAGTTTGCTCACTTGCCCGATTTGGTGACCTCCGATGAAGTAGTCAGACTCAAATGGTATCTAGTGGCAGCGGCGGTCGCGGTGAGATGGGGAGCAGTTTAGTCGCAGTGCCATTGCGCGGAATTCGAAGATGTCGGGTAGCGCCAATTCACTACCCCGAACGTCGACTGATGCTATAAGCACGATGGCTGGTGTTGAGTACAACATCGATCCCCGGCACTCCACCTTCGCCTCCTTCTCTCTCCCCCGTAGCTTTCTTGTGCGACGGGCTTCTTAGATCACAGTTCCAATTCTTAGGGTAC